ATGCTGGATTGTCCTCGTCTGGCCATATCTGGGAGGAACTTTGCTTGCGAGCGCTTCCAGCTTATTGCCCGGGATGAAGAATTCCTGCAACTGACTCCAAGCGAATTGGCGGCCGTTATTGCGTCTGACACTTTGAACGTAGAAGCGGAGCAAGATGTTTTTGAGGCTTTGATCAAGTGGGTTGGACATGACCAAGAAAAGAGGCTGAAGGACCTACCGAGTCTGCTGGACTGCATCAGATTACGTCTGGTTCCTCAGGACTACTTCACCAAAAATGTGGAGGAACATGAATGGTTGAGCTCGAACCCAGAGATCATGAAGAAACTGCAACTGGTCAAAGACGCCCATGCTGGGAAGCTTCCAGAAGTCAAGAAGACCAAAAGCAAAAAGAGTGATGGTGGGGAAGGACAGGAGGAGGGAGATGAAGAGGAGGAAGAAGAGCAGGAGGAGCTACTTCCAGGCATCTTGAATGACAATCTGCGATTTGGGATGTTCCTGAGAGACTTGATCTTCATGATCAATGACACTGCATCGGTGGCTTATGACCCAACGGGAAATGATTGTTATGTGGCGGCAATCTCAACCCAAATCCCTAAAAACCACTGCAGTCTGGTCACAAAGGAAAACCAGATATTTGTGGCAGGTGGACTCTTTTTTGATGAGCAAAGCAAAGACGAACAGATCTATTCATACTTTTTGCAGGTAAAATCATTCACACTTGTTAAGTTTATGTGGTCTAAAAAAATCTTTGACAACATTAGTAAACAGATCAGCATGTTTTTGCATCTTACCCAGCTATATTTACCAATTTGGATTTAAATGAGTGATACTTTCTATGAAACTTAAGACAGGATATAGTAGTCATAGTCAAGTGACTACCAATAACAACATTGTGGATAAGTTGTTGTTCTGTCAGGACCACTATCGTCAAATATGATTAACAATTAGCATACAGTTTGGATTGGCGGTATGGTTCTGTTCTGGGTGAGAAGTCCCTGTGCAGAGCAGCAAGGGTAAACAGAACAGATTCAACTTGAATGTATTGCAGATATCATCAATTAATTTTAATGTACAACATAATTAGAGAATTTTAGTCTGATTCAGGGGTAATCAGAATGCCAAATCCTGACTGACGAGAGGAGGAGCTGGGGAGGGAGGAGGCTAATTTGCTCTTGAGAAACGCGATAGCTGCTGATAGGCTACTGAAGGAGCTTATATACTGTGTTAGCTTGACTAATGTGACCTGCCAGAACTGACGCTACTCTTGATTTAGTAATAACACACACAGACAAACTCCCTGCAATGTTTATAGAAGATTAGTAATTGGTTCCCAAAGAAACATCCAAACTGAAACCATACCCTAACCCTTTGTGTTTGTTGGGAATGACTTCTCCGTTAACAGACATTGACATCTTTTCTGTGAAACCTGAAAGCTTTGACAAAACTTGAAAAACCAAGAGGTTTTAGTTTTGTTATTTGCTAGCTGGTTTCAAGTAGTATTAGGCCATGTCCACAGCACGGACACGGGTATTTTTATAACCGCGACTTTTTTTACGCGGTTCGGCCGTTCGTCCACACGGAAATGCAGAATCAGGACACTGAAACAGAACATTTTTGAAAACCCCTGCCAGGATGAGGATTTTCAGAAACGCCAGTTAGAGTGTTGTCGTGTGGACAGTAAAACCAGGGTTTTTGCCTTGCGACGTCAGCGCTGTTATCCGCACTACCGGAACCTATAAAAACTTTTTGTTAGGCTTCTGATTGGCCAACGTGGCTTTACGATAAGGGTTATATCACCGCCTGCTGGTGTGGCATGCTCTTGACAGTGCTTGATGACGTGTTTTTGCGTTTTCGTGTGGACGGGATTTTTTTTTAAACGCAGGACGAAAAACTCTGGCTATAAAAATACCCGTGTCCGTGTGGACAAGGCCTTAGAGGGAGTGGCATTCTCTTTGTAGAGAGATTTTTTTTTTTTAAATCTGTATAGTGTAGGATAAGTCATCATTATTTTTTAAATTAATTTTTTTGTCTTTTTTATGGTTAATTTGTCATTTTAAGTTTATTTTGTCAATGTTTAGAATGACTTCACAGCTGACAAGCATGCACTAAAAGCAATAACTTTAATTTTAAAATTGATATATTATACAGTTTGACCCTGCAACATCAGACTGGATGGGTATGCCTCCCATGCCCTCCCCCCGCTTCCTGTTCGGGATGGGTGAGGCTGAAAACGTCATCTTTGTGATTGGAGGGAAAGAAATGAAAGAAGGAGAACACATTCTGGAAACAGTTATGGTTTATGACAGACAGTAAGTACTGATGCCACGATAATTATTTGAAGATCAGCTGTATATTTGTGTTTTGTGTTTCATGAATCTTCCAGATACTTCAAGTAGCCCTGTTTTTTTTTTTTAAAGATATCTTAAATGGGCAGAGTCGGATCCTCTTCCCTACCCAGTATATGGCCATGGAGTAGTGTCTCATAATGAAATGATCTATGTAATCGGAGGAAAGGGAAAGAAAAAGTAAGTCGATAAGTTTTCTGGCTTCTGTTTTGAAATATGCATTTAACATGATACACTTACGGTTGTGTTTTTGGAATAATAACATTAAAAAGAATGATGTCTCTTATGTTTACCAAGGCTGTATTTGATAAAAAGTACAGTAAAAACACTAATTTTGTCAAATAATATTACAATTTAAAACATTTTTTTTTTATAGTAAAGTATATTTTAAACTATAATTCATTCCTGTGATGTCAAAAGCTGAATTTTCAGCATCATTACTCCAGCCTTCTGTGTCATATGATCTTTCAGAAATCATTCTAATATGCTAATATCCTGCTCAAGAAACATTTCTGATTATTATTATGTTGAAAACAGCTTAACATTTTTGTGGAAATGGTGATAAACTAACATTCAAAAGTTCATTCAACTGTTACAGATCTCACAGTTACACATATTTGTCGTATTTTGTAGAGAGTGTTTGAATAGAGTGTGTGCGTATGACACTAAAAAGCATCAGTGGATGGATCTGGCTCCTTTGAATACTGCACGCTCACTTTTTGGGGTCACCATCCACAAAAACAAGATCTACGTGGCAGCTGGTGTTACGGACACTGGCCTTACAGGCAGCGTTGAGGTCTATGACATCAAAACCAACAAGTAAGCGTTAAATGATCCGCATTGTGTGACAAACTCATTAATTCGCTTTCATTAAACTTAATATTTAACCACAACCCTCTCTATCTTATAGGTGGTCCGAGTTTGTGGAGTTTCCCCAGGAGCGTAGTTCTCTTAGCCTGGTCAATGTGGGTGGTGTGCTCTATGCTGTGGGTGGTTTTGCCATGTTCCCCAAAGAGGACAGCGATGATTTAATGCCGGAGGAGATGAATGACATCTGGAGGTAAGGCGCTCGTTCACTACACCAATCAGTCTTTCAGTAAAGGGAGACGATTTAAGTTTAAATAAATTAAAACCATTAAAATTAATCTATTTAAATGCTAAAAGTGAACTTTGAAATGAGCATGCGCAATTAAAAATTTAATATCAATAAATCAACATCAGCCAGTCATTAATATGGTACTGATATACTGTGCATCTCTACTAATATAGGCCCTACAGATATTTTTTGATATGTTCAAATAAAAAGGTTCATGTTTGTTCAGGTATGATGAGGGCGAGAGGAAATGGATCGGCATACTGCGGGAGAATCAATATGCATCTGGTGCTACAGTTCTAGGAGTTCGTCTCAACAGTCTTCGACTTACAAAAATGAGAGACAACGCCAGTGCTGTCCATTGAGTCTTTGTACCATAAAGGAAAGACGGTATAAACTGATTTAAAATCAGCTATTGGACAAAGGGAAGACTAACCAGCATGAACCACAAAGATTCCTGTAACGTTACTGTTTTACGGTCAATGACAGGAGTTTAATCAGCTGTCTGACGAACGTAACCAGCACATTTATCCCCACAGAGCAAAGCCATAACAACACAGCGAGGGATAACAACTAAGTTACATGAAACAATCCAAAAAACGACATATTTTACACCACTGACAAGGGGAAAGTCACTACTCACGGTGTCTATGGCTAGTTTCAAGCTTTCTGCGGCTTCTCTTTCAAGGTAGTGACAAAACGCGTTCTGTAGCGCTGTTTGTTCTCTGTCGGCAACGGTAGAAACGTGACGTCACAATTTGTCGACCTTCATAAAAGGGGATGCCATTCATATATGTAGATATAAATGTCTCATTCTAAGGTAATAAAAACACATACACCACTGAAAACAAAGTTATGGCTGTCATATTGCATTTCTTTTAATAGATACTCAATTTCATTACCCTCTGATTTTAGAGAAGTTATGGGTAGGGTTAGGTTTAGGGGTAGGGATTGGGTAAGGACTACATTTTGGGACAGGAACGTTGATACAGGATCAACAAAATATGTTGATCCAGGGCCATGTCTTACTTGGCAAATCACAATGACCATAAAGGTAGATGTGGATTTTTGGTGTAGCCTATGCATACCACAGCTACCAAGCTAGTTTACTACACCAGAAAATCCATGTCTTTATTAATCGATAATGCGCTAGTGATTATAATTAGTTCAAATATTATATTATGAAAATAAATGGTGCCCCTTGTGTTTATTTCAGGAAACTGCAGTTAATTGTGTTTATACAGTTTATAGCCTATGTTTTTCGAGTTTTACAAAAATTTGGGCAGGTTTTTCCAGTAAGCCTGTGGAAATGTTGTTTCTGAACACTATTATTATGGTCAGAGCTTCTTGTGTCATGTTGTGTAATTGGTCATTTTATTGTTTTATATTGTATTATTGTTCATGTGACATTTCTATTATAGTCGGTATGAGATAATATTTGCCTTTCAAAGTAAAGCAAAAAACGAAACACAAAAATGCTTGGTGTGATGTTTAATTTAGTTTACTATTGAAATGATAATTTTATTTTGTTACAGACAATAAATACTACCCAATACAATAAATGACAAAATACAGCTTAATTTTATTAGCACCGCTAGACTTTGTATTGTTTAGTATTCTGCTGACAGAAGCAGCACAACTGCATGTACACAAAGTTAACTAAGACATAGCATATAGAACAGTCACACTCATGATTGTTTTAATACATATGGGCAAGTATTGCATGTTGAGTGCTAGTTTAGGAAAAAAGTTAATATATTTCTTGAATTTGGTACTATGGAGAGTGGTTTCTTTGAAAAGTAAAAAAAAAAAAATTCTGAAGTGCAAATCACCTCTTGCTATCACTTATAATATATAACAAAGGATAGCACACAACATAACAAACTAAAATAACAGACAAATCCTTCTTAATATAAATCTTTCTCTCTTTCCAAAATCACTTAAATAGACAGTTTAAAATAAGAAAAAAAGGCCACAAGCATCCAAAGTCTTTCTTAATAAGCAGCAAACGAGGAATGATACACACTAGTAAATTATGTAAAACATAAAAAACTAGTAAAGAAATAGAAATATTTTCTTTCAGATGCACAAAATCAATTCAAAATTTTTTTTGTACAACAATATCTCCAAATATAGAGATTTACTTCTGTGCAATTTCACTGCATGTAAAATAAGACTTTAGTTTAAGAGAGAGAGAGAGAGAGAGAGAGAGAGAGAGAGAGAGAGAGAGAGAGAGAGAGAGAGAGAGAGAGAGAAATTAAGGGGGAAATATGATCTTAACAGAAAGCTTTCAGCAGTTTTTTTTAAACATTTTAACAAAAACATGTTATCCAAAACCTTGTACCATAACATTAATATCCAAATAAAGTGCACACAAAAAATGGGAAAAAGAAAAATTCACCTTGTTATACGACATAAAGCAGGTGCTATGTGCATCAGAAAACTTTCTGGGGAAGTTTTTCATATTCCATAATATCGTAAAAGGAACATGAGATGATTGTTTTAAAAATATATATATTAAAAGGGACTTTAAAAATAGAAACATCCTCAATGTATTGAGAGATCCCAATTGGGTTGAGGACACTATAAAATTAGTTGAGTATAAGGTGCAATATGACACTGATCATGTAAAGAACACAAACATGTTCGTGGCAAAACCATAAAAAGGCTTAAACAATAATCCTCTGGCACAACATTTAGATTTCTGCTAAATAAAAAATGATTTAAAAATACCTCCTGGTCATGGTCTCTGCTCAGATCACCATTATCTTCCCCAACTCTATTCCATTACACACTTAAGACAAGTTTGTTATAGTGCCTCTAGTCTAATCTTATTTTTTTTTATTTTACAGTGTACATCTAGCATGTTATACTTAAAGGTACAGTTTAGACAAAAATTTAAATGCTGTCATCATGTCATTCTGCTGTTAATAACCCCTTTTGTAAAGGGATAAAGTCATAACAATAACAACATACATTTTGGGGTGAACCATTCCTCATATGTTTGTTAACCGCCACAGAATAAAAAAAAAGGTAAATGTGACTTTTTTTCTCTCGTAATTGAAAGTTTAAATGTCACAATTTCCACTTTATAACTCGGAATTGCGATTTTTTTCATCTCACAATTCTGAATTGCAAGATAAAGTAGGAATTCTGAGATACAAACTGAGTTTTTCCCCTCAGAATTGACAGATACAGTAAACTCGCAATTCAGACTTTTTTTCTTGGAATGGTGAGATAAAAAGACGTTATTCCCTTTTTTAATGTTTTATTCCATGGCAGAAACAAGCTTCCAGATTTAACTGACCATGCTGCCAGGACTTTCAGAAACTTCTTAAAGAAACACATACCATTTTTAAAACCACTTGCCGTTACCTGCATTAAGCTGTGTTTTCTTAACCCAGAAACATGACTGATGCACTGTGAACAAGGTAAGGTAATATTTAAGATGGTATAAGAAGGTAAAATTCTAGGTTTTATTCCTAATATAAAAAAATTATTTCCATCATAAGTTCTTACATGACTGCTGGCCTCCACATCTCACCACATTCATTTGACTCTACAAATGTAATGATTAAAACTGATTAAACAGAAACTGACATAGAGTTTATTTACAGACTATGTATGTTTATATATATATCATAAATGTGTGTTTGTGTATATTTATATAAATTTAAATATTTATATAGGATAATACCTATTATAGCTACTACATTTTACTGCTCCTAGACAATAAAAGTCCTCTCTACAAAGGGCAAGGAAATTGTGTCAAATTGTCTATAATTTTATCATTTAAAATTCTATGTGGCCTCTCAACAGGACCATATTACAATGTACACTAGTCCCAGAAGACAGGTCTAATAGTTTTCTAATTTTTTAGGGCACAAAACAACATGATTTCCATCTATACTGAAGCCCCCACTTTCTATAAGTTATTCAGGCCGGCTGCTGTCACTTTAAACTATCATAAAAATAGAGTGAAGTGAAAAAAAAAAGTGAAAGCATTAATGATGACTGATAAATCACTGTAAAAAAATAGCGGATAAACCTGTTCTGTGTACCATAAAGCATTTCAGACATTCAACAGAAATATTTTTGAACCACACATACCCTGGCGCTCATCCAGGTTTGATATTACCTCCATGCAAATAAAACACACTCCATTTCACACTCATAAGTGGTTTAGGCGTTTCAGATTTTGCCATTACACAATATGGCCAACACTGAGAGTAAAGTGCTCTGAAAATTGTAAAATATTATAGAGAGAGAAAAAAAAAAATAAAGAATTGCGAAGCATCCTTCTTTGGGATTTTTAAAAATAATAAAGGTTTTCTCAAGTGCCTTTGCTACATATATCCTTTGATACAAACCAACCGCCCAATCTGTGCCCTGCACAGACGCTTCACAAAACAAACCTCTGCAAATATCAGAGGACCTCATGTTTCAAAACGTTAAACTTTCAGAATACGTAGAAGACAGGACAATATAAATACATCTACGATTAAAAATAAGGTGCTGGAGTGATTATACATTTCATATTCAGTTATAACATATGCTAACTGGATTTGGTTACTGCGATACATCTGGATTTGGTTATGGCAGGGGGACATATTTATGCTACATTTGAATTGGCTAAACTTCGCAATGCTCACGTCCCACAGCGCCCTCTGCTGTGAGTGCAATACACATTCGTATTTTGTAATGCAGTTAATGAGAATCTCAACGGACAAAGCATGAACGACTACAGCAAGAGAGTGAATGCGATTTCACCAAGTACCTGGATCTTGGAACAACTTTCCAATCAACTAATCAGATTTGAATGTCAATGTAAACACATTGAGTCCAAGACAAATTGAGCCCCCCTTTTGGGGACAATAAAGTGTATATCAAGTTTAGGATTAGAACCAGGGAACATGCCTTACTTGGCAAAATCACGGTGACCATGGCGAGAGCGTGTGCAGAAATGCAGTGCTAACTGCTAATCCTGTAGCTCACAAAAAAATACATCAAACACCAAAAAAAAAAAGACAATGAAAACGTATGAGGAGCTTATTTGCACAGTATACAAAATATCTCTATGAGAATAAAATAAGTGAAAATTTGCACAGTTTAAAAAGAATATTCAGTGTTACACACTGTTCAAACACCTGCCGGAAGTCTTAGACCTCGCTCAACGTGTTTGTAAATCCATATGAGAGAGTGATTCACATCAGACGTGAATCAAAAAGCCTCACGGGGAGCTACTGCAAGCTTTGGGTTTCGGACAATAAACAATCAAAGGAACCTTAAAAAACTAGTTGGTACCGGAGTTAACCCTTTCAGTGGAAAACAGGGTCGGGGGAGAGGGAAGACCTACGACAGAGTGAACGAAGGGAAGCGAGAGTGACTTGACCTGGTGGAGACTGGATGCCTCTCCAAGAGGGGTCATGGCGTGGCTGGGTAACTGATTAGCTGGTGTGTCCAAATCAGCTGACGTGGGGTCCAGTCCCAGAAGGTTGGTGGTATCAGATACCATGGGGTTGCTGACCTGGAAGCACTTCTCCTTGTGGGCTTTGAGCATGTTGGAGAAACGGAAACGCTGTCCGCAGACGTCACAGGGGTACGGCTTCTCGCCAGTGTGAGTGCGACGGTGCCTTTTCATATTGGGCCGGCTCGTGAAGCTCTTTCCACAGACCTCACAGATATATGGTTTTTCTCCTGGAACATATAAAAAGATGAAAGAACTTAATGTGCATTCATACTGATATATATATATTAATCTAATCATATATATCAATCTAATCAAGATTTGTGTTGACTGTGTTTAGGTGCCAAAATGGTGGTTCCTACCAGTGTGAGTCTTCATGTGTTCATCAAAGTACTGCTTCATGTTGAAGTCTTTCCCACACCACTGGCACATGAACTGCTTGTGTCCGATATGGATGCTCATATGTGACCTCAGCTGGTATTTGTACTGGAATCTTTCACTGCAGTTCTACAACATGGGTTTATGTACATCATATACAGTAGATTATAATTTACATCAATATTCCTCTGCTTATAGTTATTTTTAAGACATTATGTCAAACACATATTTCAACCAAAACATAAAAAAAACATGTTTGAAATGATAAAACAATAACTACTGGACGCTGTTCAAGTATTTTGACACGTATTTGGGTCAATATGTTTTGTTTTTGTGAAAGAAACTGATTTAATTCAATAAACATTTATAATGTCACAAAAGATTTCTATTTCAAATGAATGCTGTACTTTTGAACTTTCCATTCATTAAAAGAATCCTGAAAAACTAAAAATATTAAGCAGTACAACCGTCTCAACATTAATAATAATAAATGTTACAGCATCTTAGAAAGATTTCTAAAGGATCATGTGACTCTGAAGACAGAAGTGATGGATGCTTAGATTACATTTAAAACAATATGAAAATAGAAAACAGCTATTTTAAATTGTAAAAATATTTTACATCATCCCTGTTTTGATGAAATAAATGCAGCCTTGGTGAGCATAAGAGACTTTCAAAAACATTTAAAAACACACTGATAGGACACTTAAGTGTAAACTTAAAGGTCCAATATGTAAGAAATTTGTAATAAAATATCCAAAAATTTCCTGCAGTTGCAATATCCCAAGAGTCTCCAAAGTTTAAGTCTCCAATTTTAAATAAGTGGCCGTCCCGGAAAAAAATGTCGCCTGACAATGACGCAATCCGCGCTATCCTCGGTTTCCGCTCGTACTGCCATTGCCATGACGTAACCATGGCGACAGACGTGGACTGCGTAGTGAGTAACGTTTAGCGACACCCAGTTCTTGTTTCGTCCATGGCAAGCAGACTTTGGGATAAACAAGGAGAACTAAAATGAGGATCAATATCAGCGTGGCGTTTCTGAGATGCCGAGAGCTAGCGTCCGAGACTGACTTTCACTCGACAGAGAGCTAGCATCCGTGACTAATTTGGACTTGACAGAACTTCACGAGTCACGACTTGACAGGTGAGCAAATGTACATAAAACAAATCAATGTTATAACGTTAGCTTGATATGATGAAATGTTAGAATATGGTCAGTATGTTATTCTTATGTTGATCTAGCTGCTAGTTTTGTACAGCAAACGAACTAACACGTAGAATAACATTATAACCTTCAACACACGTTTTAAATGCCGTTTAGTGTGATAGTGTAACGTTATACCATATGGAACAGCTCTGCGTTTCCCTCAGAATTTTAATTCATCTAATAAACTGACCTGTGTGAGTAATCCAGCACTTGCGTGTAGTTCAATAGAATGAAATTTCCTTATTCCTTTATATACACGGGACTCGTGTGTGATATATGTCTCTTATTAGCAATCGCGACCTGCTTCATACCACTGTAATGTTAAAAAAACATGAGTGTTTTCACTAATCCATAAACATTATTAGGTCCATCAGCTTGACAGCAAGTCCCATCATTTAGCTCGTAACTGCGTCATAAACATACGCCTTGTTATTGTTGGAAACTGCGCCCTCTTGTGGCCAAAAAAGTTACATATTGTAGCTTTAAGGGAAAAGGACTTTTCTGTGAAAAAGACAAAAACGAAATACCTGAATCTTTCTGGCCTACAACTGATAATCCACATAAGTGAACTCACCTCACACTTGAAGGGCTTTTCTCCAGAGTGCTGGAGAGAGTGCACTTTAAGAGACATGCTGCGTTTGAAGGACTTCCCACACGTCTCACAAGTAAACGGCATGTCCTTGGTGTGAGCTGCAATGAACAACCAAAATTCAAGAAATGCTTTCATGTTTGCTTTCATAGTAACAGTTCAATCATGACAACTCTTGGAATAGTTTTAGCGTGTTATTGAATATGCCAATGTTAATGTATTTGGTCTTTCCGAACATGTATGGACATGTTACTGCTAATAGACACACAGACACACTGCTGTGAGCATGTAAGATATGATGCTTTGGCTGCATAAATAGCAGATCTAGGCAGGTGGAGTTGGGGGAAGTGGAGGGTTTCAGAGGAACTCTTAAAGGAATAGCTAAAAGGAAAAATGAACCAGAGCGATCTCATTGGCTGCAGGATCAGCGGAGGCCAATCGGCCTGCACCCTGTAGAGTTTCGTGACTGAACTAGACACTTAAATGATATGAACTGATAAAAAAAAACTAATTAAAGCTTAATTTGATCTTTAACACATCTCAGTGTTAGTTGTTAAGGTTAGAGTGAGACTGTGGCGTGGTTTTGTCTAAAATAAGAATGCATTATTGCTGCATTTACTCAGTTGTCAGTGTTAGATGAGCAAGTATGGACAATTGAGTGGATTCTGGTAGAAGGAAGTTCTTCTAGATAAGATATTTCCTCTCTGCTGTCAGGGCAGATTAAACAATACAGCCTCTGTCCTCGGCTCAGTCTGTTCTGGATGGTAAAGCAAGGTCACAGCGGCTCTTTCCCCGGCTCAAAACAGAGCTGGGTATTTCACTATTGTGTTGGACCAAGCTCTGGGAAGATCAAGCTTCAGAAGATGAAAGTACCGTACAGTATGAAGGCCAGGGTGGGCTGTATTACCTCTGCCTGACGGTTAATTTACACCACAATTATGTCTTTGTGCGTTAGACAGGGCTGCTGTATTAAGCAGGATCTTGACTGCCACCTAGCTGTGGCAGGTGGAGGTATAGTTTGATGTTAAAATGAGGATAAAGTATCAAGATGTGGCCTGTTGCCAGAAAATAAAGGTCTTGAATTGAGACACAGTTTGAGGTTGAATCCTTTAGAAGAGTTTTGTGATAACTAGATAACTGATTCAAAAAGAGTGAATTAAACGTAAAATTACTAAACTTCTAAAATGTATTAATCTTAGGGGCTATTAACACAACATCGTTTACAACTAAAATGTACAAACTTTTTATGCGTTTTGGCCGCTCGTTTAGACGGCAACAGTGTTTTGGGTGTCTGAAAACGCAAACCTTTGAAAACGGACTCCGTGTAAACAACAAAAAAAAAACAGAGAATGTCTGAAGACGATGATGTCATGCACATGCGTATTACGTGTTCAGTCGTGTTTCATCGCCATCTAATGGTCTGGCAGCAGAATACAAAGTTTTTAGCCATTTTGGGGATCTGTGTGAATGGGGATCGCTTTGACAATGGCGTCATCTGTACACAGAAAACCCAATGAAAAACTTCTCAGTTTTGAACATATCGTTGTCGTGTAAATGTACCCTTAGTTACTATCAATTTAAAGATTTACTAATACATTATTAAAATCAAAAGTTGCACCAGTTTTGCTATTTAATCGACCTGAACTAACATGAACTAACAATAAATAGTTGTACTTTTATTAATCGTAATTAAGAAAAGAAAGATTAAATATAGCTGCAAGCAGCGATGACGGGCCTAAACCCAGGTGCCACCGACGGGCAATATGAATTTAAACCCGTTAAATGTATAAATCAAAGATTTATAAATATTGTAACAAATGCGTTGTTTATTGTTAGGTAATGCATTGATAGGACTAATGGGACCTTACTGTTAACTGTTACCCTGTATTCCAATTTAAGATTTTTGTTTTGTTTAAAATTTCAAAACAACTTTTTTCTTTACAACGTAAAGGCCATTGCACAGAGTCCGAAATTTCCGCATGTTAAAAAATAGATACAACCTTGCGTTATGTCAATTACGCTTGCACACTGCCTCCGAAACTTTCGTTCGTCATAAAAAAAAAAATCGAATCAGGTTAAATTTTCTGCATTTTTCGCATCCGTAGCAAGCAGTTTGAATGGAGTTTGAATGTTGTTTTGACAATTCAGAGCCACCGAATCACAAATACGAAAAAACGCATACGAAAATGTCGGACTCAGTGTGCAATGGCCTTAAAGATGTAAGTGTTAAGATTTTCAGTGAATAATTACTTAAATTTCAATCTGTTCCTTAGACAAAGCAAGCATAGCTTCAGTCCTTAATCACTTTGATAACAACGAAAAAGAGTGTCCAGGATATTCTTTAAAAAAAAATCACTTTTTGTCTAACTAGTAGAAATAAAAATTCATGCGGGTTTGGAACAACATGAAAGTGACTAAATAATGACAGAATGACAGTAATTGACCCAGTACTCACCAACCATGTGTTTCCGGACATGTGCCATGGTGTAGAATTTCTTTTCACAGATTTCACAAGAGAACTTCTTCTCGGCATATCCGTGGACAATCTTGTTGTGTTCATGTAAAGACCACAGCTTTTTAAAGGCTTTTCCACAAGTCACGCACTACAAAAGATCAGAGGACCTGAATGAACGACATTCGACTAAACAGCTTTCCCTTAGGGGTCGATGGAAAACACAACAGGATTTTATTATTCTGTGAGAGAACCAAGAACTGCACAAGCTAAATAAAGATTGAATATTGCAAAGGGCACCTCTAAATTAAAATTCATTTATACCAAATTAAACACAACAGCACAATTTCCTTAATTACACTGAATTCCCCACAAGTGCTTAATATAGCAGAGACAAATGAGTGCTGGATGTTTTAGACCCAGTTTGAGTTAGAGGTGGAAATGGCCTGGCAGACCTGCTTTAATGGCAGAAAACAGCTGTTCTCCGCACCCTAATACAGTCTGTGCCAATATATCATCCTGGTTTATCATTCTGCTCTGCATTATGCACTCATAGCAAAGAAGAGAACGCACATAATCCATCTTTACACATGATAAAATGTGTTATAAGAAGCTGACAGGTCTATACTATTTTTGGTGGATAAAATCTAGGTGTACATCACCGACAAACTAACAAATTGATCATTATTTTTATGTTAAGACCAATAATCAATAAATAAAGGGTTGATAAAAAAGAAAAGAATTCAACACAATTTTTTTTCTAAATAAAATAAAAAGCAATCAGTAATCAGTAACTAAAAAATTTAATTTAGGCATCACAGTATTATAATTTACACTACGAAAGATTAATATTCATTTTGATTAATTGATAAAAATTGCATTTAATAGTGTTAATAAATTCTTAGTGTTTTAAATTATGAACTTGAAGTGAGCATTAGATGATGGTGAGGTGAACTACATCTAAAAATACATTTAGGAAGTAGTTTTTTATGTCTCTTATATTTTTTTATTTATTTGATTAAAAATCTGGTAAAAACAATAAAAAAATTACAATACAAAATCTAATATATTTATCTTATCTAATATATTTCTTGTAATATATTTTAAAATGTAAAGGATGATGGAAAAGTTTATTTTTCAGCAGTAGTTACTCGAGTCTTCAAGGGATATTTCACCCAAAATGTAAATTTTGTCATTACTTACCCTCATGTTGTTCCAAACCTGTATGAGTTTCATTCTTCTGTTAAACACAAAAGAAGATCTTTTAAAGAATGCTGGTAACTTAGTATTAGTAGGAAAATAAATACTATGGGGGTCAATAGCTGTAGTAAACTGTCTGGTTACTGACATTCATACCAACAGTGGTTCTGGACCTCCTGGCAGGCCATATTTTTGTTTTAACCCTTTAATGGCACACTTGATACAATGAATTCAATGCTCAAATGCTTAGATGACTAATTGAATCAGGCGTGCCACTTCAGGTTGAAAACAAAAACATGTCCAGTCGGGGCTCCCTGCAGGAAAAGGTTGAGAACCACATCTTTAAAATATCTTCTTTTGTGTTCAACAGAAGGAATAAACTCATACAGGTTTGGGACAACATGATGGGTGAGTAAATCATGACAGAATTTGAATTTTTGGGTCAAATAGCCCTTTCAGTCTCACATGATCCTTCATTCTAATTTGATCTACCTTGTTAACGTGTTCATGCAGACAGGTGTGTGTACCTGTATGTTTTTCTCACAGTTTGTCTGATGGTGCAGCAGCAACTCGCTCTCCAGTAAAAAGCGCTTGCCGCATTTATTGCAGATCTGCATGCGGTTGTGTGTGACGTTCATGTGCTTCTCCAAGTACCAGCGGTTGTTAAAAATACGAGGGCACTTCTTGCAGGAAAAGTGCTGCTTTTCTTCGAGCTTCACCTTCTGCCCCACACTCTCCTGCTCTCTTCTCCTCTTCCTCCCCTCCCCTAGTGTGGAGTCCATTAGTGTCTGTCTCATGGCGGCATCTGTGCCAGTTAGTATCCTCGTGGCACGCCGTCTTCCCATACTGGTGTGTCCTGTTTCTGGAATGTTGAGCTTGTTCTCTTCCTCATCCTCACTGCAATTTTCCATCTCTTCCCTTCCTTGTTCATATTCTTCTTTGTCCTCGTCAACATCTTCACTATCAGACTGTTCCTTGCCCTCCTCCGCATCGGGAGAACTAGTGCGACGGTGAACACGGAGGGATGAGGTACTTGAGGTGATGCCCTTTCCGTCTGACCCTTTAGAAACATTCAATGTCTGGTTATTGAGATTGACCTCCACAATAATCTGCTCTCTGTTAAAAGAGACGGAACCATCCTGGGCTCCCGCTTCATTGAAACAGGCCCCTCCCTCCATTTTGCACAAGCTCCGCCCTCCTCCACTAGCCACTCCGCCTCTGCTGTCATCATTTTTGTAGATGTGTTTTGCCTGAGGGCTGGAGTGGATGCTAGAGGGATGTGTCTGGGTAATTTCCCCACTGACCCCACTATCCTCTACAAGCAATGAGAAAGTACCGTTTCCTTGCTGTGTGTACATCTTCTCAATCTCCTTCATCTTGTACATCTGATTGGACGAGGCATTGCCCTGCCCGTCTGTGTCAGCCATCTCATTGGAGCCGAGTAGTTTGTGGCAGGAATCACTCATCTGGAGCACAATGGCCACTTGTGGCACTCCAAAGATGGAGATATAGATGAAGTTGATGATCTGGATGCTCAGCACCTCAAAGGCCAGGTTTATGCGGTGCAGTGGTTGACTCCGGGAGAGGAGGGCCTGGAAGTTCGGGCTGTGTTCATCCGGCACGCACTTGTGGGCGGAAAATGTACAACAGGACACCAGTACAAGGTCCACGTCACACAGGGGAGGCTGGTAGAGATGCCGTTCGTTCAACCTGTCCATTAAACAAGTAAAGTGCAGCACTGCATCCTCCAGCAGAGGGGAAGTCAGCAGTCCACTGTGAGATAAGACAGGAGAACATTTTAATGCATCATTGAACATTTTTTAAATTCCTTAACAAATTATTTACAAATAATAAGATCATAAACAGCACAACTATATCCACTTGGAAAATAGAACAAGAATAAACATTTTAGATGGAGAATTTCTGCATTTCTAGAGCAAATCACCAAAACAAATATTGCATGTAGCTTGACTTAGAATAATTATTTGAATGGGGTTTTATTTGGCCATTACATTTTTTAAACACGGTATCATTTTCACTTTCACTATTAATTTCACAATACTTCCTTGTCTCAAATCTTGTGTTAAGATGAGATGTATAATAGTGGCTGTGATTTAACAATTTTGTGATTTTAATCTTGATTCAGTTAATCAGTTCATTTCAGTCTGATTCATAGCATTTAATTCAATTATTAATTTGTGCCACCATTACAAAAGTTTTAATATTTTATAACTATATATATATATATATATATATATATATATATATATATATATATACATAGAATATATACATAGATCATATATATATATATATATATATATATATATACATACATAGTGTCACGGTGCGGGTTCGGGCAGAAGGAGAGGCTGAGTCCAGATCTCGATTAAGAGACATTTAATGCAAAAAACAGGCAGGAAGACGGGATATACAACGCAACATTCAACATTGACCGACAAGGACAGAATGAAACAGAGGAAACTAAATACACAGAGGAATCAGGGTTAATGGGGTGAAAACAGGTGAAACAGATGAAACAGGACGCTGAACGGGAGGCTGATGAGGGAGTGAGTTCAGGTGTGCAGACGAAAGGATTCTGGGAAGTGTAGTGCTGATGACGCAGACAGGATGGTGCAGACGAAGACTGTGACAGAACTCCCCCCTCCCGGGAGGCGTGACCTCACGCCGCAGAACAGAGGAAGGAGGGGGGACGAACTGGGGGCTGAGCGGGGCGTGGCCAGGGCGGAGCAGGCTGAGGGCGTGGCCAGGGCGGAGCAGGCTGAGGGCGTGGCCAGGGCGGAGCAGGCTGAGGGCGTGGCCAGGGCGGAGCAGGCTGAGGGCGTGGCCAGGGCGGAGCAGGCTGAGGGCGTGGCCAGGGCGGAGCAGGCTGAGGGCGTGGCCAGGGCGGAGCAGGCTGAGGGCGAGGCCAGGGCGGAGCAGGCTGAGGGCGAGACCAGGGCGGAGCATGATGAGGGCGAGACCAGGGCGGAGCAGCTGGAGGGAGGACCCCTGGTGGAGCCGATGGTAGTGGGGCTGACAACACCAGGGGGCCGACTGACAGGGGCGGAGCGGATGGGAGAGGAGACCAGGGTGCCGCTGAGGGACCGACGACATGTGGTGCTGATGAGGGACTGAGGGAACATGGTGATACCGTAGGTTCTGGTGACTGAAGTGATGACAGGGGCACGGAGGGACACAGTGAGGTCAGAGGGCGTGAGGGTTGACGGGTGACTGGAGGGAGTGAGGAGTCCGACAGCACCGGGGGGGGTGACATGACGGGGCGGAGCCAGAGGAATGAAGTCCAAAGGTGAAGGGAGGACGACGAGGGAGCGAAGGGAGTCCGGAGGGTCGAGGGAGCCTGGCCGAGCTGGTGGACTGAGGGGCCATGGAGGAGCTGAGGGAGGTAGGAGCCACGGGGGAGCCAATGGGACCGGGGGCCGAGGAAGTGTCCAAATGGGGGAGGTGTGAGGCGAAGGCCAGGGATATACGGACCAGGCTGGTTTCGGGCGGCTGAAGGGCAGGAGAGCAGAGGGAGGACAGATGAGAGGAGGCGGGAGAGGGAGGCTGGGTGGGATCCTGGTCTCGGGCTCTGGCTGGACGGTCTCTGGGGCTGGCTGGACGGTCTCTGGCGCAGGCTGGACGGTCTCTGGCGCAGGCTGGACGGTCTCTGGCGCAGGCTGGACGGTCTCTGGCGCTGGCTGGACGGTCACTGGCGCTGGCTGGACGGTCTCTGGCGCTGGCTGGACGGTCTCTGGCGCTGGCTGGACGGTCTCTGGCGCTGGCTGGACGGTCTCTGGCGCTGGCTGGACGGTCTCTGGCGCTGGCTGGACGGTCTCTGGCGCTGGCTGGACGGTCTCTGGCGCTGGCTGGACGGTCTCTGGCGCTGGCTGGACGGTCTCTGGAGCGGGCTGGACGGTCTCTGGGGCGGGCTGGACGGTCTCTGGGGCGGGCTGGACGGTCTCTGGCGCTGGCTGGACGCTCTCTGGCGCTGGCTGGACGGTCTCTGGCGCTGGCTGGACGGTCTCTGGCGCTGGCTGGACGGTCTCTGGCGCTGGCTGGACGGTCTCTGGCGCTGGCTGGACGGTCTCTGGCGCTGGCTGGACGGTCTCTGGAGCGGGCTGGACGGTCTCTGGGGCGGGCTGGACGGTCTCTGGGGCGGGCTGGACGGTCTCTGGCGCTGGCTGGACGCTCTCTGGAGCGGGCTGGACGGTCTCTGGAGCGGGCTGGACGGGGCTGGACGGAACCAGCGAAGAGATCTCGGGCTCGGCGAGGCTGGGCGGAACCAGCGGAGAGGAGAGCTCGAGCTTTGGAGGGGTGCTGGTGACTTCCTCCACCGTGAATGGAGACTCACAGCACACCAGCACCCACTCCACACAGGCGGCGAAATCATCTGGACCGTTCCCTGGGAGGCGTGCCCGGGACCACTCGCTGAGGCTGGCGATGTAGAACTCACTCAGCGAGTGGTCAGAATAGTGAGTCAGGCACGCCAACTCCAGAAAGTCCCGTGTATGGGATTCCAGGGAACGGTCCTCCTGGTCAAGGCAAAGAAGAGCCACTGCAGGAATGTCCATCTTACTTCTTCTCTTTTCTTTTTGGGTCGGTCAATCTGTCACGGTGCGGGTTCGGGCAGAAGGAGAGGCTGAGTCCAGATCTCGATTAAGAGACATTTAATGCAAAAAACAGGCAGGAAGACGGGATATACAACGCAACATTCAACATTGACCGACAAGGACAGAATGAAACAGAGGAAACTAAATACACAGAGGAATCAGGGTTAATGGGGTGAAAACAGGTGAAACAGATGAAACAGGACGCTGAATGGGAGGCTGATGAGGGAGTGAGTTCAGGTGTGCAGACGAAAGGATTCTGGGAAGTGTAGTGCTGATGACGCAGACAGGATGGTGCAGACGAAGACTGTGACACATAGATCTTAAATATGTATACACTATAACTATATATATATATATATATATATATATATATATATATTAGTATTAGTATATTATAGTAGGCTATTTATTACATATTGAATAAGATTTTTTTTCAGTTTTCATTTTTAAATTTGCTTAAGATTTAGTAGTTTAGTTATGTGCTTTTGTCAACAACAACAACAAAAATATATTTCAGTTAGTTGCCAAGGCAAAGTTTCTAATTTTCATATAAATTTTTCATCTAATATTTACATTTATTTAAGCTTTTTTTAAATTAACAAAAATATATTTTTTAATAGTTTTACTTAACAATAACATTAAACTTTATAAAAAATTAAAGGCTTAATTAAATGTTTTAAAATTAAATGATCTGTTAATATAGGGAAAAATTGCCTGGTTATGGTGCATGCAAGTGAAATGATTTTCATTAAAAAAACTAACTGAGAAAATCATGCTTGATTTTTCTTAACACGATTTGTTTTCTGTATTTTATTATTGAATTAATTTTCTTTGTACTTGGTATCTACTTGTCAAAAGAAGGTGGTTTGGTTGAAATGGTTTCCTCTGACTGAAATAAAACGTTTCAGGGCAAGATATTGTTGTGAATATAGTCTAAAAAGTGAAAATATATATTTTATTTATAATTTCAATAGATATAATTAAAGTAACACTGTATAAAGGTTGACCAAAACATCAGGACATGTAAAAAAATCTGTGCATAATAATTCGTTCATTCAGTGGCCTTGAAAACATTATCAAACGTGAGAAAGGTAGGATCTAATGGAGCTTGCAGGCCCTCCCCTTCTGCTCCCAAGGTTGGTTTATTTTAGATCAGGAAGGACAAGGTTTCGATCCAGACAGCATCTCTTTAAAAACTCCACAGAGGGAAGGGAAAGGGACAAAGAGAGAGGCAGCAAGCAAAAAGAGAAAAGGGCAAACCAACTGAAAGGAGAGAATTAGAAGTATGTAAAAAGCAAATTGATATTCAGAGCTGTGCGCTAACCATTAGCTTCCTCCTCCTGGATCCAGTCTCTCTGAATTATTATGCACAAGACAAAACTCTGGCCAATAAACAATTAAAAGAGAGCAGGGAGAAATCAAACTCTCCAAACAATTATACAGATTATATAACTACAACAAGTGCAATTAAGAGTGTTACTATTTATCTCAGTAAACAGGATTAGTTTCTTTTCAGGAGGCAATTAAGTCCAATCAATCTTGTTAAATGTCACCCACAAATACACCCAATTGAGAGCATAAACTCTTATTTACAATACAACAATATTGATCCTCATATGTGGTCACTGTGACAAGCCATTACACGTAAACTAATGTCTAAAATCATTCTGAAAACAGCTGGCTGCACCAATCTGACGTATTTGCCTGGTCTACACAGTGCAACAGTCGGGTTCAGGAAGTAAAAATATTCTTTTTCTCCACAGGGAAATAGATTTTTTAACGATAACTTATAAACCTTTAAAGATAGGTTTAAGCCATTAGTCCGCATAATTTCAACTTCGTTTTAAAAGAATCGTGTTTAACAGCTGAGTTTGTGGTGAAAAACTACATAACCCATGATTCTGTTCAGAAAATCCCACCAACCAGAGAAGCAAAAGAAGCAAAAAAGTTTTTTCGCAATATATACAGTATTTGTAGATCAACTTTAAATTATTAGTTTTCATTGTATTTAATTTGATTATGATGTTCGATATGCTGTTCTCACGTAAATGCGTCTTTATAGCATGCATTGTGTTTTATCGTGTAATTTATACGTGAACGAGTTTTTACGTGCATATGATGCGCGCAGTTTTCGCGTGCATTTTATACGCAGTTCATTTG